CTCCTCACTCGAGTACATTTTTCCCCCTCGGGGGGTCGCCACCTCCCCTCCCCCCTCCCCCTCCCCCCCTCGCCCTCCTCCCTCCGCTCTCGTCTCGTCACGGAAAAGGCTGACGCTGCCTGATCTATTATCCCACGATGCAGCCCGTCTTTATCGCGCGGAGACTTTATCACAAAATTCATGTCGTTCGAGATTTCGAGACACCGAAACGCTTCGTTTCGTAGTTGCGACTCTCGGAGCATAATTTCATCTCGACGAACGTAATAATATATTCCACATACTCGCATCATAAGCAGGGTTGTTATGTTTTAAACATTTTCGTATTTAAAACAAATGTTTAAAACATACAACAACATGTTGTGGATATTGTGTACTTTTTTAAACAAACATTCGTTTTTTCAATTTATTTTGAACAAACATTTAAAACGTATTTTTTTTAAGAAAATTTCGACATTGATTTTGGAGTAGTGTGCTTATTTTTATTCAGTGCTGCGTTTTTATTTCATAAATATTATAAAATAATTATTATATTCATGAAATATAAGTTTGATACTACATATAAAATATTTATATGTTTACATATAACATATAAAATAATAACGAAAACATAAACAAAAATTATATCTTTAGTTTTGTTATTCAGATTATAATATTCGTAGAGTTTTTAATATTTAACAAAGTAATAGATTATTTTTATATTATGATATATAAATAATATTTATTTATATTGGGTTTATTATTTAATTAATATTAATAATATCATTTGAATTCAGCTCCGATAAATTTTGATAATTGAATTCTCAATTAAATTAAATAATGATTTTAATTAAAATTCTATCTTTATCCATCGATCAGTATTATTAATGTAGACTTTGTTTTAGATACATGGCCATCGTAAATCCATTGAAACCACGTATGGGGAAAAAGGCGACATTGTGCGTTGCAATCGTAATTTGGATCATCGGGGCAATTCTGTCCTTACCAATGCTGCTTTTCTACACGACTTATACTCAGAACTTTATGAACGGCGAGGTCCGCGTCGTCTGTTACAGCGATTGGCCAAACACAGATGACAATGGACTCAGCTACGACGAATATTTGTAAGCCAAACAAATTTTAGTAATCAATAATATTGAATCTGCAAAATTTATTTCCCAATTCCATATATTGTCTAAACTATTTACATCCGCTTGTTTTTTTTTTTTTTTTTTTTTTTTTTAATAAAAAATTTATTTCCCAATCTAATCGATATTTAAATAAACTTCTTCACGTAGTATTTTCGATTTGATTGATCACGTACAACTGAACAACATTTTTAATTTATTTAAGATCATAAGTATCTCGCAAAAGTCCGCCACGTGTTCGCGTATGGAATAGAATAGCAGTTAAATGCAATTGCCATATGTCTTTCCTTATAATACACCGACAACGATCGAGCGAGTCGCAAAAGATAAAAAAACCCCCAACACTTTCCAGAGGTTCGTAAAAGCGTCATCGCCCGCGTACACATGTATACGCAATGTTAACAACGTCTAACAGTTTATGACCGTTAAAGGATTGCACCTGCCGACCGGTCGACACGTTTCTCACGCACGCGAGCGTGCAGACACCGCGAATGCGCCATTCACAACCACCGCCGGGCCACAATTGAGCCCGTCACTTCATCGTGAGGTGTTTGAAGTACCTCGGCGCTACCCGGCGGGACGAAATGAAATGAAGCTAATAATAATACCTTCGGACATCGCGGTGCATCGCGAATGTATCGCGTGTCCTCGAAACACTACTACTCCGATCGCGTCGTCCGATTAAGTCCGAGCTCCGATCGGATTGTAATTACAGAAATGAACAAGATACGAGGCGTGCTCCTTACATTCGCGGCCGTACATGTACGATCGCCTGTTAAGATAGGACGGCGAAAACACCGGTTTCGCCGAGAGATAACACAACCGGCTCGCCTGTGCGCGTTTCCTAATTGAAAGATTCGGACGGTAGCTCGCGGCGCTTTCGTGCATGGCACGTCATGTAGAATCACGCACAGGCGACCCCCTCCCTCTCCCCCCCCACCCCTTCTTTCCCCCGGCAGCGGGGCTAACCAGGGGAATTCGAGTCCCGATATAGATATGCCGTTTCGAACAGTCGTTCCCCGAATAACTCGCGTCGCTTAATCCAAGTTCACGCGATTCTATCCATCGTTCCCGTAATCCCGATCTAGCCCCAGGAATCTCTCGCGAGCATGCGATCGCGAGAGATTCGTGCGGCCACGCCATATTTCGCGTTTCGTCCGATCGTCTTTATTTACCCGAAGCATAAAAGTGCCATAGTCGATATGTGATGTCGATAGCATCTGCTAAATTGATCTCTCGAAACTCGTTGAGATTCTATAGTTTAGCCGGAAGTTTCCAGTTTAGCGAGAGTTTTCTTTATTTGAGCAGCGGCGGAGAGACGATACATATTTGCGAGCGATATGGCATATAAGAAAACAACAAAGAGAAACATAGAAAAATAGAATGTATATACGCTATACGTACATAATTTCGTTACAAGCCACACCTTATAAAGGTGCGGTTTATAATGAAACTGCATATATACAGGTATAGTTATCATGAAATTATTTAACGTCCCATAATTATATGGTATATAATGCGTGGTAAATTAATGAATATTAATTAGTCATAAATCTTGAAATTATTATGATTATAATAGCCTCTGGATTAATTACACAATATTCATAGAAGAAGCTATAATATTTTTGTTAATTTCAAAATAATTTTCAAGTATAGACATATATTTTTTATTATTAATTTTTGTAATTCAGCTAACATTAAATTGCCGAACTATTCGATTAGTTCTGTTTTTTACATCTAATAAAAACAAAATTCATAAAATATTGCCATTTGATTAGAACATATTGGTGTAATAATAGAATAATTAAGAATAGCGATTTCTTACTTTTTTCTTCTTTTATTTACTTTTTCTTAAAAATATCATTGAATAAGATTGGCTTGCATTCTCTTCAAGGCTTTTCAAATGTATCTCTTCTTTTGAACAAAGATTGTGCCGTAGTTTAATCCTCGTGTTAAAAGCAGCGGAAACAAATTTGTATAAATGTCGGCATTATTCCCGGAGAAACGTCGTTTATCGATCGTTCCTCGAAAATTCTACCTCGCTACTGAAACACTTATTCGCCGCCATTAAACGCTGACGATTAAAGCTTTTACGGACTTCTACGGTTTAAATCCGCGTAAAGTATTCTAAATCGGAATTACGCGAATGTAACCCGATGAATTTATACACTCCGGTAGTTTTTATTCGTTCGAAATCAACGGTCCCCGGTTATTCAAAGTTAATACGTGAAAACGGGAAATTTCGATTGTTATGTAACAACGACGCCTTGTAATCCGATTCCAACAATCGCGCGATAATCCATTAATAAATTCATTACCGTTTGTTAATAATTCTAATGTGCAAAGTGCATAATTTAATTGCCATAATTAATATACGCGAGCAGAATTAACGGCAAAAAAACGCGGACGATGTCATCCACATGCACTTACCACCGGCTTTAAAAACCGCGAGATTTTTACGTGGTAATTCACAGTCACCGTGTCTCTTAGCCTTTCCACGCACAAATTGAAACCGATGATTAACCGCGCCAAAAATGATCACATTTTTTTCACTCTTCTTAAAAAAATATCGTTCGCAAATAATATTTTAATTTCGTATCCTTTTAGAGAAAAAATCCTCCTCCTTGCGCTCCGCTTTCGATTTCCGCTTAATGAAGCCGTAACTTACGCGCGCATTTCGCATAACTCATTTAAACGTTCGCTCCTCATAAATTTCGCAGATCCGGTTGTGTGTCCCGTTTGCTAAAGGTTAATGGCAATTACGTGATTATCATTAGCCGCGTGTGCGCCGACATGTAAATGATTACATACGAGTTTTCGCGTTGAAAACGCGCGCGCGCGCTTATCGGCTTAATTCCTCTGTTCAATTACGACTTGATAATGGCATCGATACGCTTTCGTCGGCAAATAACACCAGACGTGTATACACATTCGCCGGTTCATTAGGTCTAATAATATGCGCGCTCGCGTAATATCCGTAATCGATGCACTTAGACGATCGGTCGCGCATTATATTCATTCGGCATTCAATCGGGCCCATTTGGCACGCGCTCTGAAAGCGGTTATACGCCATGGAACAAAAGCATTACCGCCGCGGAACCGCGATATCACCGTTATTTTCGTTCCCCTTTGAACATCACGTGTCCGATCCGCTGTCGCGCCCGTCCGATGTAAATTTATAACGCCGAAAGTGGCCGCGTTACGCGAATGTAACGCGCGGCTTGTGCCTTCGTGAAATATCAACTTCCCCGTAAATTTGATAGTCTGAAACCGCAAATTGGGTCATACGCGCGCATAATCGCGAAATATCTGCGGTGAATCTGTCAATGAATTTATCAATGAATTACTCGCGAATCCGTCGTCGCGATCCGAGATCGACGTTACACCCTGAAACGAAAACCTACCCCAACAAGGCCCCTTTCTTTTTCCTTCTTTTTGAATTTCTATTTTTAACTTCCGATTTCAGGTAGACTGTAGTATAGTAATTAAATCTTAAATTATATTTCTGCTAAAGAAACGTGAAATTAACCGGGAACACAAGATCTTTCCTCTCTGTTTAAGACTCTTGAAGCTCTTAAAGCACAGAGATGCCTTAATTCTCGATGTCAATTTAATAATGAGAGACCACGCCAGAAAGGTCGACTCTAGTTTCCTCAAAGAATCGGTGACTAGAAAAGAAAGCGCGTGGCTCCCAAGATACTTTCGTAGAATAAAATAATTTCTCGATATTACGTATCGCATAAATTTGCTTCCGTGAGTGACGTAGTTGAGTTTAATTGATTTTACAGGTACAACGTTATCTTCATGATATTGACGTACTTTTTACCAATCGGATCTATGACGTTTACCTACGCCAGGGTCGGCCTGGAATTGTGGGGCTCGCAAAGCATCGGGGAGGCCACAGCCAGACAGCTCGAAAACATTCGGAGCAAACGGAGGGTATGTATGAAATGAATTAATATTCGCGCGCATCAGCTCAGACGGTGAAATTGCTTTCGTTCCACGATCGAAAGGTGATTTAATGCGGACAGCCGTAAAGACGTTTATGTGACGAAGAGATTTTTCTACATTTTTCTTGATTTTTTTTTTTCACCGGCGGTATTTGAGCGGAAAGAAGGGTAAACTTTGTCGCCTGACAACCGTTTAACACTCGCTTAATACGAACAAGGAAGGACGAATGTTGTACTGTAAACTTTATAAACTCGCGTTGGAATTTGTTATATGCTCTCCGTGTGTTCGATGTTGTATAAGTAATTAAAGTGCAGTGTCGTGTCGGCACTTGTAGATCGTATTTACACGACGCGATGCAACTAAGTAATCTCGTGTGCACGCCCTTTATCTCGCTTATCCCCGAAACCTGGCCAAAACCGATATATTCGAACTTATCTTAATTGATTAAGTTTAAATGGAACTTTAGACAATGTCTGTTCACGTTCTAATCTTTTGCACCTACGAAAGGAAAACAAATACCGCCTGTGGATTTTGCCCCTCCTCGCTCCCGGGAGTTAAATAAATCACGAGTATCTCACATTTACAATCAAAAATTTCGCTACACTCGAGTTTGCAATTTTTGCACAGTTACGCCTGATGATGTTACCTCGTTCTAATGCAATATTCGTTGAAAAATAGTGCAACGCAATATTGCTACGTTGCACGGCGAGGAACTACCGATAGCGATCGCGCGATGCATTTCGCTCGTTCCGCTCTGTCATTCGTATCTCATCACGAATTCACGATCTTTTATTTATTTCCTCCCTTATACCGTATCAAGGAATGGCTATTGTAAGTTATTCGCGAACTGTCAATAATTTTCGAGAGTGGCGCGAGTATCCCGCGATCGAACCAGTGTTAAGAAGGTTGCGACGCGCGTTAATAATTATAGTGAATGACGTAAATCCGTAAGATCGACGTGCTAGACGTGAGCAATCGGTACGTAATCGCGTAATACACGTACATCAAATCCAGAGGCATGGGGAAACGCATGCGAGCGACATTAAGATTCGTACGAAGCGATAATATCTCACCGCCTGATGATATTGGCTTTATCCAACCCTCGTAAACTCGGCTTATCGGCTCTATTTTAATGGCCGCGGGGGGGGGGGGCGCCACGATTTTCTTCCCTTATGAATAACATCCCCCAATAATATTCATGTGGCAATGGGAAACTGTGCTACGCGCAAAAATTCCAAAATACGTCTTTGTCTTTTCTTATCTTAACGGCTTTATGGTAATTTTTACTGTCTGTATGATGAATGAACGAGCGCGCACGATTTTCGCAGAGCGTATATAGCTAAAAGCGGTGCCCATTTTACTGTGTTCATAGAATAATCACGTACGGAATGTCTAGATACGCTGCGTATAATTTCTTGAAAAGAGGCAGATAAATAGATTACAAATGTATTAGTTTTTTTTGCCGTAGAAACAATAATAATTAATGATTTTATTATACTCGGAAAGCGGGTGATCCAGACTTTCAACTGAGGTATATTATCTTTTATTAAATTCAATAAAAGAAAAAAAATCATCGGACTTAAGAGCAATTGACCATTTTCTGTTCTAATAAATAATCAATAATCATTAGATTCCCGTAAATGTCTGTCTCATTTAGGAAAGTTACTACTGATTATTTTTCTCCTCTTTACTTCTTGCGTTCTCCTCATTGAGTGCGGGACGAGGTAGAAAATGTGATTACAACGTGACGGTGCTTCGCTCGACGGTGTCGTTGAGAAAGGCCTTTCCAATTAGTCTTAACCGTGATACAATGTCTATCTGTGAGTTTAACGACGAGGTATAAAGCTCGCACGAGACATACGCGAGACACTTCGTGGCCGGTATTCTGCCAGCACGTACCTCAAAGACGCCGGATTGAACCCGAAGCTTGACTATAAATCGTAATTAGACGAGTTTCCGGTCTGCACTTTCGCGCCATCAAGACCCTCTATTTCCGACGCTTTGACTTTAACTCGCTACCCAACTACTTTTGGTCAATAAAGTTTGCGGGAGAAAGTTTCTATTCTCCACGGGCAATAACACGGACGACGTTGAGGCGCTTAGTTAATATTTGGCAGGGGCAAAAGAGAAAGAGAAAAAGAGAAGAGTAGCAGCCCCCGGGGAACGATACCTTTGTTTCAAAGAAAAATACCCGTGTACTCTAACACGATACGAGCAACGGATATCGATTGCCTACAAACGTTTATTGCCTACAATCGTTTGTGATCTGCGTTCCCGAACATGGTGAAAAACGATTAAGTATAAGTCTACTTTTCAGCTAGCGTCGCTGACCTTATTTTATCTTTCAACAAATATTGAAGCTACAAATTTTTACGGGCGCACGATAAACGTAGCAAAATATCTTTTAACATTTATATATATATATATATATATATATATATATATTATATATTATATAATATTATACGACGACATAATCGACAACTAATAGATAGAAATATTCAAGTAGAAAAATATATAAAAAAAAAATAGTTACTCACTAGAAATTGGCTTTTAATTTAGAAATAATTGTAATATATTTATAAATTTTATACATTTTTTTTCAAAATCTCTTTAGAGACACGTGACATTTATTATAAAAATTGATGTCGACTTGAAGATTATTAAATTCATTCATAGTTGAAAGATTTATTGATTTCTATAATCTTGAAAATTCAAAAGAAGTATTTAACATTGAAATTATAATTTCCCTGAGACTAGAGTGGAACATCGTACAATAATAACATAAATTTAACCAGTAATTAATTATCGCAATCACGTTGCCTTTTCGTTAAGAATACATTCAAAAACGTCGAAGCGATAATGAAAATAATAAAGGTAATTGCAAGCAAAACTCAAAGCAAAACTCTCGCTCTGTGGAAAATGAATAAACTATGACTTGTTTTATCGTTTGAATTTTAATTGCTTTCTATTCTCACACTTGTTTTTAATTATAGTTTTTAATTTACGAAATTCTAAGCTTTCTTTGCTTTTACAAAAAGCGAAAATTGCTTTTACGTTATATCGCCTAGTTTGAACAACATGTCAAACCACCTCGTGTCCTCGTAAAATATTCGTCAAAGTGCCGTTTTAAAAAATTTTAATAAATATTCATCGTTGTTCTGGTAATCGATTAAAAAATAAAGGAGGAGGGGGGAAACGCGCATTTAATTGAAAGATACGCGTAACAGGAAGGAGAAGTATAATTTGGCTGCGCGGAGAATCGAAGCGGGCCTCGTTCTCGGCGTGTTTCAATGGGAATGCATTGGATTTCGATTAGACGACAAAAGGCGTCCGCTCTGGCACATTCGGAATCGCTGCTCCATTCCGTCACGTACGTATCGACGCAATGTTCCATCCGCATGCGGATTATCTCCATGTCCATTACAGAACTACCCGCGTGCAAGTATGAGTTCCGGTGTACGACATGTGGATAAACGGCCCGTATAGCTCAACGGCCGGCGTATTGTAACGTTACCAACAATTATCGTAATGAAAATGTTGTACTGTAACTTGTTTGACGTGCACATAATTCGGGCATTT